AAGCAACAGTCAGCAGGATGTATACCTTCACAATAAGTGTGTTTATCTGGGAGGGGTGCTGTTGGGGGTGCTGTTCAAGATAATGATGACTGGTAGATAATTAGTTATTAGTGGTACTGCATTTTAATTTTAGAAAGTGCAAATCTGCTTATGAATTATAAAAATTAGTAAGACCGCTGAAGTGTAAATGAAATATTTTGGTCCACAATTAGAGGATTTATGCTTTAGTGGGCTGGTGCCCACCACTGAAAATATATAATTGATTTTTATGTTGGATGAGACGTGTCTTGTGAAAAAACAGTCARTCACCCCAATTGTCACTGTATAATTTGAAGACTGAATGAGAACAAGCCAATATTTCAGTTTGTTGATGTGCAAAGCTGGTAGAGATGAACCTCCAAAGACTTGCAGCTAGAACTGCAGCACAAGGTTCTACGACTGAGTCAGGGGTGTTTACAAATGTGTCACTTTTTTCAGACTTTGATACGTAAAAAATGTTGAAATGTTGCTTGAAAAAAAGTTTTATCTTGAATAGAGAATGATGCTTCAAATCAGTCTGGTAAGTAGCTTTGGTCTAAGTCTGTAAAAAGTCTTCAGAAGTCTAGGGAAACTCAGATACTGACCCAAGGTTGTATCTCTGTTTGTCAGACACTCACCCTGAATCCCAGATCTACTTCTATCTCTACATTGCCTGTTTGGTGATCAGCTCATGTTATACACTGATCTGGGATCTGAAGATGGACTGGGGCCTGTTTGACCGCAACGCAGGAGAGAATACCTTCCTAAGAGAGGAGATAGTCTACCCACATAAGGTATCTGCTAAAGAAGGAGAAAGGTTTGATTTCCTGAGAACTTCCTGTAACCCAGCTGTGTTTCTGTGTTCCCCCACCCTCCAGGCTTATTATTACTGTGCCATTGTGGAGGATGTTCTCCTGCGATTCGCCTGGATTTTAACCATCACCCTCACCACACTCACTGGTTTTAAAGATGTCGCAGACATACTGGCTACAGTATTGGCTCCTCTAGAAGTCTTTAGGTAAAACGATGCTGTTAAATCTTTTTAGTTTGTTTTTTTAGGTTTTCCAGAACTTTTGTTTAAGCCCAGGCATTTTAGTCTATTCAATTTAGCACACTAAAATAGTTAGTTTTAGACTAACTTTCAATAAGAAATTATAAAGCTGTAATTGTTTGAAGGTCAAATAAAGGAAAAAAATGTGTTTAGCATATTTTGCATTCATACAATGTTGTAATTAAAATTCTGATTTAAATTATTAACAACTGTAATGAAAAAAAAATAAAAAACTAGGACCTGCTACACGAGGCTACAAAGCAGAACCAAAAAAAAATCACAATTCTTGTTTTTAAGAATTATCTGTTATTATGTGACGTCATTGTGGACAAACAATCTGTAATACTGAATCAGATTTCACTATGAAACTAAATATAAACATCCAGATGTACAAATATGAACCAGTCACAGAGAGGAGAATCTGCTGCTCACACAGAAAGCTCTGAAGAAGATGATGAGAAAAGCGTCCCTGACTGGAATAGAAATGGCCCGATGCTAATGTTGACATCTGTTGCTGTGGATACACAGTCATCCAGGACACGTGAAATTAAAAGAACAACAAAGAGTGGAGTTTTAAGATTTAAACTCCACGAGTTTGGTATCATTTTTATAGCCTCATTCATAAGCATTCAAAGAAAACACAAAGGTGGAGTGGCGAGTGAAATGAGCTGATTCCATTTTTCTTTCTTTTTTTGATATGACACAGAGCCAGTGAGTGTCTGGAGGATTAATCTACAGATTTATTTCCGAGGGAATTATTACGGTACAAGTATAATACGTAAAATTTAATCCATAAAATTATCCATAAAGTTGTGGGGTAGTATTATACTTGGTTAAATGTTTTTAACTTATGTATTTTAACTGAAATATCGGCTTCATTCACAAAATGCCTAAGCCCAGAAATGAGACCGCGTCGTAAAAATCAGTCCTGCACCTTAGTAATGATAACAAACTAATGACATTAGTGTGTGACCGAGCCGCTCCTCGAACAACAACAAACACATGTTCGTCTGTAATGGCTGCCGTCTACCGGTGTTCTGAAAAAGTTTGTATCCCTGAAAAAGGTTTCCCCACCAGAGGGGGCGCTCGCAAGTAGGAAGTAATC